CCGATTCCGGAATAAAAGAATATGTCAGAGCAAGGTAAACTGGGCAAGAGAGTAGCCTATGACAGCCGCACAAAGATGTAAATAAATCAAAGTGGCCTACCAGACTGACAGCTTTTAGAATAGTATAGCAGCACAGAGGATACACCAATAAATGATATGATGTGATTTTACATTCAGTCACTAAGCATACTATCAATGATATGATGTCAACATATAATGCTCTACAATCTATATCAAATTATGAAACATGCAAGCAAATATAATAATCATCAACATTAAAATTTACTAAATAAACAATAATCAATGGTTATGAAGTGATCAATGATAAGACATGATACTATCCATTTATTGATTTTAGTAAAAAGTTATTTATTACTCTGTACTCTCTCCCCATGTATAAATTACTAATTTTAATTTAGACTATACTGGCAGAAGAGTTAAAGTTAAATTTAATAAATTTACTTTCATTAGTCTAGGAGTAATTAGCCCAGTCCAAATCTCGGCGAGCTCGCCAGTGTGACGTGACGGGTGGTTTAAATGTTTATGTTGTTGAGTAAGAATGTTCCTCTCAACACATTCCCTCCACCAGATTAACGGAACTATAATCTGAGCTATGTTGCTCTCAGACACAGTCCTGGATACCCAAGAAAACAACCATATTGGCTCGTTAAGTACTTTAACATTAGCTGCACTTGGTACCCACAAGAGAAGGCAAGGAATTTTAGATGTCTATCATACTTAATGAATAATTAGACAGGGCAAGTGATTCCTCCGTCATCTACCTTCTCCCGGTTTTATTATGAATAATTAAAGAATTATTATATTATTTGAGCCCCCACCAAATGGTATTCTATCCTAACAGTTTAGTTAAACATGTAAGAACAGACATTTGGAATTACAAAAACTGATGCAGGATAAAACTTGACATACAGCTTTATTTACTAACAATGATATTCCCAGTTTGTTGATTTACACAAACAGTGACTGGTTAATTTGATGATAATGGTAAGCTTCAGCGAGAAAAACAGCTCGGGGTTTAGAGTGGTATGATAATGATGATAATAGGTTAACATAAAGGGGTTAACTCAACTTATAAGCCTCTGACAGCCGTGAGGAACTGTCAAGCTTGTCCAACTCTTCCTTGCCTGTTGTCTGCCTGTTTCAGCTTATTCTCCACTTCATCCCCTCCTCGTTCTCCACATCGTTCTCCACCTGGTTCTCCACCTCGTTCCCAGCTGGCCGAGTCTAACACAATGTAGTCTCTTTCATGGACTGATCGTCACATGGGCGCTGGGAACTTTTCCAGCAAATGCCGAACACGACTCAACCAGGGAGAAAGTACTTTTCAACGGTAGGTCTGAGTCTGTGGCCTGCTGGCGGCACTATGAGGTAAATCTACGATGCCCGCAGTATAAGTATTAATCTATTGTCCAAATTAAACTCCTCCCTTTCCTTAGTTTTTACCCAACCCTCAAGATGATGGCTTAAGCCACGCCTCCGGAGTACCTAACAAATCACATTAGCTAACCAGTGGCCTGTCACTCACAGTGAACGGCCTACAGTACAACCTTGACCAAGATAAAACATTCCTAATTGCCAAACGCCTGTTCTCTCTAGTCTTACACTGACGTGTGAAACTTTAAACTTCTCGGCTCCACCATGTCTAGCGTCTACTCAATTCCCCTGTTCAAAAGGGCCCGCTCAGGCTGTGTTAGGAGATAACATTCTGACACTGGCGTGAGAATCAAAGCTACACCCCTAGTCTCATCAAAAGTCTGTTTAAAGCAGTCTGGTCAGGAGATAACATTTATGACATGGGCATGTGAAAGGGAATTCTCTAGCCCCGGTGTAATTGTGTAACATTACCCAAAACTGAGTCGCTTTGTCTGGACTAAGGACTGGAAACATTTAAATCAATACGGTTTAAAGTAATATTAGGGTAAAGGGCAGAGTCAATATAATACTCTCTCTTTAGAACCAGAAGAACTTATTACAAGTACTAACTTCTGGAATCACTGAGATCGTTTCGTGACAGACACTCATCCGAATAGTGGCACTTTGTGTCACCGACTGATTATAGCTCAGTGTGATATCCTGGTGGGGTGAAAAGTCATCAGCCAGTTTACCATCTGTGTAACTGCCGCACCCCGTACTGTGTCCGGACGTCAGGTTACTTTGAAACTGTCGGGGAACCCAGTATTTCCTTACCTGACAGTTGAACGGGATTTCTCCATCCGAACAGTTAATACTTTGCGTCACCTAGTATTAATCGCTTAGGGTGAAGTTCTAGTGGTGTTTACTTCGCTCCGTCACTCAACTCCCCTCATTAGGTTGACTGCAAATATGTGTTATTATATATGTTCTTGTATGTTAATATATAATTATCCGTTTGTGACTTATGCTGACAAAGGCTGGCTCTCTATCCGCAACGTTAATTTTGTCGTTCAAGGTTGAAATATTTTGTAAAAGGGGTCTACATGGGGAAGCTGCTTGCCTTGCGCTCTGTAGGTCGTGGGTTCGTTTCACGCCTGCATCGATGGTTCCAAGAGTGCATTCTTTGCGAAAGTCATTAGGGATCGTTTCCGAATCTAGGAATTCGTGGTTTGTGTCAAGCACTTAGCTAGCGACTATTCGTTCTGTTGAGAGAGAAAGAGCTTTATGGTTTGAAACTCGATGGAATGAAGGGTATTCTTTCATCATTAACTTTAACTTGTGGTCAGTGTAAAAAGCTGAAAACGGCGGGAAGGAACCCGATTAACAGCGCATGTCTACGATAGCCGGACGTCCTCAGTTTTTCTGTTACATCAGTTTGATGGAAAATAGCGATAAGTATTCAGGGTTGGCTTTAGGCTTTACCTGTTACTAGACATGGTAATGCTAGTTATAATTGAATTCTCCGTCCAATTTTACATTTGTATATAAAATTTCTTTCTTGTCAGTGGCTAGTTAGATGTACAGTGACATTTTTCAGGCAATTGCTGGCTCAGCCAGTGGCTGTGTCTCATTGTCTGCCATCTTGTCCAATGACAGTCCAATGTAAACAAAGCCAAAACGATAAGTGCGCAGTTTGGTTGCGCAGAGAAAACATCTTGTTTCTGGATCACAAGTTTTAGCAGGTGCTTTCTACATCTCATCTCCACAAAAACCTACATATCTCAGCTCAGAAATGACACACAAGCCTAAATGAGGTACCGTTGGAAAGAGATTGTTTACAGCTATCTAACTGTGCTGGTTTTATTGGTGTAGAGGGCATTTAAAAAATTTGACAAAAGTACCTAGGTACTGTTAAACAGCTAGCTCAACTTCTTGTTTGAATTGCTTCTTTTTTTAACGACATTGTTCATACCAAGATCATCCTCGTCACACATCGGGTATGACCATAAGTGCTCCGATCTCCTCCCGAGTATGTCTCTAAGTGGTTTCAGGCTAACAACTCCCATTGTGTTGTGGTTGACGAGTGGCTCCGGCTTGTCTCGCTGCTCCAGTTAATACACCCGGAGTATGCAGTAAAGACGAACAAAATCATTGTCCACGAAACTAAAAGCTTCATAGCGTTTAGTCTCTCGTATGACATTGATGATGTTTCTGCTCTCAGTAGATGGCCCATTTCAGGACATGTTTACAACAATCATCTAATATTATGGTGGTTACCGCGGTGTAGGGGTGATATCAGATGAAGTCATGGGAAGTACAGGAGGCCAGTGTGATGTTGACGATATCACCCACCTGTTGCCGATCGGTTTATTAAAATATAGATACCCAGTACGCCGAGAGGCGTGAAACAGGGTCGGATTTAGACTCATTGAGGCGCTAATCTTTATAAAGCCCTAAAGGATCATCATTGAAATTAAACCAGTTACCCACATAGCACTTTAAAACATATAAATTTATAATAAGTGGAAGTTGACGCTTATCAAGCTAATATCAAGCCCGAAATAATATACTCATACTAATTAGGAAAAAAAAAAAAGTAGAGTACCCTCATCCTGCCTTCAGGCGTAATTGGCATAAAGAGCTAGTCCTAAATTTTATAAGTTTTTATAAGGAGTAGAAAATTATAGGGAAGAGAAAAAGTTGGTAAGAAACAACAATTAGTTTATGTTAGCTTTACAAAATCGATCACAATAAACAAACAAAGGACGTTGCGGCGATTAGCCTTCATCAGCACATAAAGGACACCACAGTACACATACACGAATAGGCTCTAACTATGAAGTGACTACATAGGACTCTAATGTATAGAATATATGATACTCATCTAGGGCGACCCCCCACCCCCATACTAACATTATTAAATTTAAAAATTTATGGGGAACTTTTTTCTTTTAAAATATTAAAAGAAAATAGCATTTGTGAACAAAAAGAAATTATTTGAAGCCCTTTCGTACTGTGAGGTCCTGACCTTAGCTAAGTTAAAGATAGTTGCATATCCTTTGCAGGACGTTGCAGAAACAACCCCATAATTTTTTTTAGCTGTTGTGGTTTTTATAGGCAATTTACGTCCAGTTGTTTGTCATGGCTGTTTGGACGGTCGGCTTCTCGATGCCACTGTCGAAACCAACGCAAGGCGCAAGGCCCGCAGCTGGGATCCAGACCGGCACCCCGACATTAAAAAGCACGTTCGCAACGCCTAAGTCACAGACGCCGACTAGAAAATTAAAAAAAGGTTAGTTGCGTATCCTTTACAGGAAGTTGCAGAACCAACCCCTGCAGCCCCTTGCTGCTGTTTGGTTTCTCTAGGTAAATTTACTTCTAATAGTTTGCATTGATTTATGGACGGTCGGCCAACTGATACCACTATCAAACTAACGTAATGTGCATGGCCTGCAGCTAGGATCGAACCCGGCATCCCGGCATTACGAAGCGTTCGCACTGACTTATCCACAGAGCCGACTAGCCAAGTTAGCTTATGCTTAAATTCCGCACTGCGTGGAAACAAGAGTCGTTTACTTTGTACCTTTTTTTTTTTTTTTGGACACTAAATGTTTTCATTGTTTCAGCGTGGTGATCATGATGCTGCAGTATTTCGTACCGCTGGCGGTGATCACAGTCACCAACAGTCACATAGGATACATCGTATGGATCAAGAAGACTCCTGGAGAAGCGGAGGAAGACAGGGACAGAAGGCTTGCTGCGTCCAAACGTCGAGTATGTTTTCAAAGTCATCGTCTCTATGTGAACATTTTTGAAGCATTCTCTGTATGTGTTTGTTAAGTCGTTAGCCAAGGTTAAAACATAACTTATCTCACAGTACCTTCTGCAAACCACCAAGTCGTCTTGTCTCTGGTCGAAAGTAAAACACCATCCGGTAATCTCGTGCAGCAGGGAACCAGCCCTGAGCTTCATGAACTCAGGAGGGCCCACCTCCGAATGCGTCTAGGAATCGTGGGCCGAAACGCGTGTCGACGAGGATACTTTATACTGACGACTGGTAGATCCCTGCTGTACTTGCTCCCTGTGAGTTTATTCCTAACTGCGAACAGGTAGCCTCATAATTCCTAAATTTCTATGCCAGAGGAGACCACACAAAATTTGACAACCAGAAAAATGTGAAGCACCCACAAACAGAAAAAAATACCTGACGCAGTTGACAGATGTGCCAATACCAAAGGTCCAGCACCGGAATTACAGCTTATTGTTGACACAAATGGTCGATAACGAAAGCTAGCTTTGCGCCTGTAAAATTAGAGGATATACTGAACGTTATTGACCCATTGCCTTTTTAATGCGGTCAACAACGAGCCGAAAAATGGGGAATTCGCATAAGCAAAACCTAGCTGGAAACGAGTTGAGTTGAATCAAGAATTGACGTCACAAAACTTACGGCATTCCTATCCGCGCTCCGTCCTCAACTCCGCAGCCAGCACAGAGTTCCAGTCTTAAGGGTATCGGTTGTAATCTGGTTATATGTCCGTTTTGTCTGTCCTCTGAGTGTAGTGAGCCGGACAGACCCTCTTGTTACACCCAGGTGCATCATTCTCTTTAGGCCATAATAATCTTGTTTCTCGTCTGACTTCGTTTCATGTTCCTAAGAGAGCCTTCACCACATCTGCCTTGTCATGTATCAATTCAACATCCATTGGTGCAGATCCAGTCATTCTGTTTGTTCATTGCCCGCCACGCCACACAGTCTGGAAAAAAGATCCAAAGTGTGCTATCTCCCCGTGACCTTCCTAATGAAGCCTGCCACTCTGCTCGAAGCATCCCTGTCTTCATCTTTCTCAGCATGCTCTAAGAGTCTGAGACAAATTACAATTGCCATATGTGTATGTATCTTGTTCTCTATCCATCGCCTTCACTTCCATTCTCGTGCAAGATGTTGTGGTATCGTATGCTAGGTTGTCCTGCACTGAAGATTTTCAATTGGCTTTCGTTACGTCCCTCTAGGCACTTATGTCGCCTCTCAACACAGAACCATCTGTATAGATGATCAGATAATCTGGGTGAGAATTATCGGGAATAAACTGTTGGACATCCACCTTCGTAGCACCCTCTGGACACTCTCTGCACTCCCAGGCCTAGTGTGATCATGGCCCTACAGAGGTCAGCTGGAAACGAATAATTTTTCAGGGCGTGAGCGAGCCTCCGACTATCTGGCATTTTAGTCTAATGGGTGTTTGTTTAATTACGACAAACATACAGATTTAACATAGGTTTCATTTTTGAAAAAAAAAACTGTTTACAGTCATCGTCTTTAAAATTATCAACGTTACCTTTATATCTCTCTTTTTTTTTTTTTTTCTCAGCTGTATTCACGAGATGTAACACTCAAATTCATTTTTGTAATTAGTTAGTTTAAACATTTTAAATAATTTTTACTTGATTCCAGATTTTAAATAATTATGATTAGACAAAAGGAAAATTGTAAAGTGGGTATATTTGTCTATTTCCTCTCATAACCTTTCTTTATTCACTCACTCTCCCCCCCCCCCCCTCCCCTCCCCCTCGAATTCCCGTTGTAAGACTGGCTGTGTTGTTTGTATTATTAACTTTGCACAAAATTCTATAGTTTTCTCTGTTATTTCAATCAAAATCTAATTCCTTGTTAAAACTGAAGTGAGGCAGCATTCTCCTCACGGCCTGTTCAATCTTCTCTTATCTTGCAACAGTAGACGTTGTTGTGCTTGTTTGTTGTCATCTGTGTCGCCACCAAACGTTATTGATTTGATTCCTATGCTTCTAAAACCTAAGTTGAGATGGATTGTTAGTTTAGAATCAGACACATCTCCCGGAAAGCCAAAGAGCGCCCAGGGAGCGGTTGGGAAGCAGAGACGATCCGGTTGTTGACAATGAGATATAAGAGACAAATTATGTGTTTTTTATCATGCAAAGGAGCTTTGTCTTTTGAATAAGTTTAAATGCAAAATTGTAGGGTCAGACTGACATTTGTACAACGCGACTTGGAAGAAGGAAATACCAGTTCATAACAGGAGAGAGATACCGGTAAATAACAGTAAGGAGATACCGGTAAATAACAGGAGGGAGATACCAGTACATAACAGGAGGGAGATACCAGTACATAACAGGAGGGAGATACCATTACATAATAGGAGGGAGATGGCAGTACATAACAGTAAAGAGATACCAGTACATAACAGATAGAAGGTAACAGCACATAAAAGGAGATTTATTATTTGAGATTGTGTTGTTTGGTTGTCGGGCTGGTGTTTGATTGATTGGTTAGACAGTGGGTTGGTGGGTTTGTTGGTAAGCTAGTTGGTGTTTTAATAGGATTTTTTTTTCAGTTATGTGATTGGTTGATGGGGTAGTGGATATGTTAGTAGATGGGCTGGTTAACTGGTGAGGTTTTTTTTTTTTTTTTTTTGTTTTTTTTTTTAGGTATTTGGTTTTTTTTTTGCTATTTGTTACTGAGCTGGCTTACGAGTAATAGGGTATAGAAGTTGATTAGTATGGTTGGTTGTTTGACTGAGCCATGATTTTTAAGTAGTTTGATTGGTTAGGAAATTTAATGATTTATTGATTTATTTATTATTTCTTAAGTTTATGAAGTAGTGAGTATATAGGTTGTTTAGTTAGTCAGGTGGATTTGGTTGGGTCATTGGATTGGATTGGCTTTTTACCCCACCAGGACATCACACAAGCGATAAACACCCGATGACACAAAGTGCCACCATGCGGATGAGGATCACCGTGGAGAGGTCCCAGAAACCGCGTTCAGACATTTGGCCATAATGATGACCTGCCTATATTGCGGCCCCTGGCAAAAGCCAGAGTGGGGCTTCAAATAACAAAAAATAACGTCCTAAGAAGGACGTAAGGAATGTGAGTGCAAGCACATAATTGGGTCATTAATGATGAGTCTTGAAGACCACTTTCCACTCTGAAGTTCAATGCATTGAGTGTCATGTCGTCTTTGACCTTAAAAAATGATTGCATCGGTCGGTACAAGGGAGGCGTGAGAACCTCCCCAAGTTCCAGGGCTAGATCACAATGTGCTCAGAAACATAATCCCTCATAATCCCTCAGATTCACAGGATCTGTTATACAGAACTATCCGTCATCCCTTAGGCTCAGAAACCAATGAGGTGAATTACTATAGTAAAAAAAAAATAGGTAAAGATCCCTTTTCACGCATTAGGCGCATCGGGTATATGGGAAGAGCGTCCCATATTTTTACAGACCAATCGGCACCGGCCGTCTTTACTTTCCCAGGACAGTCATCCTGGTACCCATTTTAGGCTGGGTCGACTCGCGACGCCCCATATCATGATAAAAATCCACGCAGCCAGCTGTGGGTTTCGATCGCGGTACGTTGGATTACGAGTCGGACTCGCAAAGCCATAGCCACGGATGCCTCATGGTGTTACCATATCATAATTAATTACACCACGTGCAGTGTGAGCTGAAGTTACACATGTTATGAGTTTTCGTTACTTGTTAACCATGTTTAACCTTGAAGTTAAGGTAAAAACTAGTGTGTCTGATAGAGCTTTTATTAATCTGTTGATCTGTGTCGTCTGTGTTGTCTGTCCTCTGGAAACTGTGGAAGCAAATTGATACTTAACCCAAATGTATCTTAGTTAATGTGAATTTTTACATGTCAACACAATATGAATCCTTTAAAATAACATGACTTAACGTACAGAAGGGTTAGTTGCGTATCCTTTACAGGACGTTGCACAACCAACCCCAACAGTTTGTTTTTTTTCGGCAAATTTACGTTGAGTAGTTTGCCATTGCCTCTGGACGGTCGGCTTTCTTGATACTACTGTCGAAAGATAAAAATCTAAATGTAGGGACATGCTGAGGTAAAACGAGCTGAAGGCTCTCATAGATGTGAACAGGGGGTTTTTCGTGGCGAAGTGGTCAAGACGTTTGCCTGACGTTTTAAAGGTCGTGGGTTCGTTGTTTCACTGCTGCGTGGTTCAGCTTACGAATGCAGTTTGTACAGATATCACTGGGGATCGTCGCCGCAGCTAGGGAGATCTTGTTCTGTGCGACACACTTGGCAGGCTGCTTGCTGTTCTGTGGAGAGAGACTAAGCCATACGCGGTATACCCCGTCGATCCTCTTGACTTTAACCTTTAACCTTTTCACAGATGTAAACTGACAATAACCATGGAGATATGATCACGATGAGCCACCGTGGTGTAGACACTAGAGGCTCGCCTACGGATCCAAAGGTCGTGGGTTTGGATCCTAATAGAGTCAGACATTTTTTTTATAACCCTGGCTCCCGGGTGGATCTGGCCTCAAATGTGAAATAGGTTATTTCCTGGGAAGTAAAGGCTACCTGCATGATGTTGATGACCGCATCACATATCCAGTGCTGATCGGTCTTTAAAATACAGATCTAGCCCTGTATGCCCAGTTTGCCTAAAGGCGTCGAAAGGGGTCATTTACTGGACGCCCAGGATGCAGCTAGCAGAATATACAAGTAATCCTATGACAGAATCGCCTACACATCGGCTACAACCAGTCTTGGCTATAGGAGAGACAAATGAGTAGAAGTCGAAGTACTTTTACCCCACCAGGACATGACACATAAGCGATTAAGACCCGACGACACAAAGGGCCACCATGCGGATGAGGACCACCCGTGGAGAGGTCCCGGAAACCGCGTTCAGGCATTAGGCCACATTTATGGTCGGGCTAAATTGAGCCAGGGTAGGGCTTCACAATAACGAAAAATTGCATCCTACAAGGGGATGACTGTGATTAAAGAGAGACAAACAAACACATTTGCAAGTCATCAAACGCCTCTGTTGGCAGTGGTGAAACGTCGCAAGCTGGTTTGGTATTTTGGCCCGTGGTGGGACATGATTCGATTGCAAAGATTGAAAAGATTAGTCTTCAAGGAACAGCAAGAATTTAAAAAAAATAATAATAATGAAAAGGAAAAGGGGGGGGGGCGCAAGATAGAACTTGGAATAGTTAGTACAAAAAGGGGGCAGGAATAAATTATTTTAAATTGTTCAACAATCTGAAGACAGGGAAAGGTGGCCGGCTTGTGTGCCAGCGCTTCCATTGATACTCCTCCATGACCCTAACGGGTTGCGGATTATTGTGTTACAAAAGTGATACAGGGTGTCATGATACATACATAATGTACAAGTGACAGAACCATACAGGCTCAAGTCCTGCCTACACCACAGAAGTGGTAAATACAAGCAGTAATGGCAGTTGCAAACAAAACGACACGATATGTTCCAGTGGTGTAAAATGAAGTTTAAACTCGAGTAGAGCATGAACTACGTAGCTCCGGCGACGATCCCCATGAAGTTTCGGAAAAGTTGCACTCGTGGACTGAAAGGCACAGCCGTGGAACGAACCCACGACCTTCAGATCGCGAGGCAAACAACTTGATATTTTCGCCAGACGAGCCTCTAGCCGCTGCATCATGTCGGCTTCCTGAAGTGATATAGACAATGTTTTAATTTATTCTTTATTTAACGATATTCATTTTCCTTCCTTTTTCAGTTAGTCAAGATGATCATAATTGTCGTCGTCATCTACGCCCTCTGTTGGCTGCCTCTACACGTCATCACTATTGTTGGGGACGCTAACCCAGATATTTACACAATCCCACACATGAACGTCGTCTGGCTGTGCGCCCATTGGTTGGCCATGTCGCATTCCTGCTACAATCCCATAGTCTACTTCTCCCACAATTCCACCTTCCGCAGAAACCTCAAACGAATGTTAACCACATGTCGCCACAAAAGAAAGCGACTTCGTCGCCATCTGTCCGTCAGAAACGGGCTGTGGAACGGCGATGTGGACTTCTACGGCAGCGCAGAGTCAGTTAGATCCAAATACAGCATTCGGAGCATGCACTCAACGAACCGAATAATGAAGCAAGCAGAGATGTCCGAAGACTGGGACAGTTTGAGGAAGTCGAAAAAGCTAGGTGGTGTTACAAATGACATGTATTTGTGACATTAATTCTCAGCCTTATTATTCAGAGTCGTGAGCAGGGTGATAATCCTTCGAGCTTCTGTGACTCAGACACGGCTTTCGGTTTTGATATAGACAATGCAACGAACATTTGAGTCACAATTGGCTATGTGTCATCGAGTTTTACATTCACTAAAGGTTCACAGTCGAAGACGTGCCATTTTCCTGGAAATACTCACAGATGCTGTCTGTAGTATGGATGTTATGAAGAGTGCTCAAGGTTAACATTATGAGTGCTCTCCCACAGTGGAGAGTTATGTTTCATTTAAAGACATGATTAACATATAACAGATTTCATAATTTTGTCGTGTAGGATAACGTTCTCACTTTGGGAAGACATAAGAAAAAACAAATTATGCCATCAGCCATCATATCGTAGATGGCGAATAATGTAGGATTTTGAAGAAATCTGTTTTTTCTTCTTTTTTGTTCAACGGCTGGGAACTCCGTCAGAAAATTCTGATTGTTCGTCCACTTATAGATTTCAGTCTTGTTCCATAACTTGAGTTTTGTGTGTATCTGTTTTACACATCTGGCTTGTTTGTGTGCAGAATGTTGGCTTTTTACCTTGCACTTCGACTTCGAAGCAAACAATCGTTTTTAGTTGAATTTCACGACATGTTTTCTAGGGTGCAAGTAAGTCTACTTTTCTCTTTCCTTCCCCTTCCTCTTCCCACAATGGGAACCCCTGAAGCTACACGGGGAGTTTGTTGAACTAATTAGATGCTTTGAGCCACACACACACACACACACACACACACATACACACACACACACATACACACACATACACACACAAACATACACACACACACACTCTCTCTCTCTCACACACACTCTCACACACTCTTACACACACATACAACGAAGATATAGCAGCATAACTGTAAACTACATCACAACCTTACCAACTACCATGTCAGAGCCAGTCAATACGAAAAAGACGACTGCATAATTTGTTTTCCCCCTATCTAAGATCACTGTATCTAATTAAGTGCATCACAAATCCGTGTAACTACAATACAAAAAAGAAACCATGTTGTATACGCCGAACTTCTGACGCCTACTTCGGTTTGCCACGCCAATAGCTATCCACTACTTTGTTCTTTATCTACCTGGAGCTGTATGTCTTTCTTCTCTTTTCGTGCCAGCCTTGTGTGGTATGGTGTCACAGGGCATTCTATGTAGGTGTGACAGCCATTTGATTCGCTGTCTGTATGTGTAATTTAAAATTAGTTCTGTGCCAACATGTTCCCTTATGACCTCATTATTTATTTTATATCTTATGGTCACTCCTGCAGCCCTGTCAAACAAGTAATTTCCAGGGTAACTTGTATTTTCTGATTACCGCCGTTTATGTCCAGTGCTATGTCAGCAGAAGGACTTGTTGGACAGTATATGATTATCCTGGAAACTGTCTCTACTGCCTTCAACACCAATTATTACTCCAGCATAGAGCAACTACAACTAAAAGAGGGGAGTGGGTGCGTGATATAGGGCATTCTTGTTATGATAGTCGGCAGTAATTTTTGTTGGTTCTTCTTTTTATAGTCTGCTAGCTGTACCCGGTCACGCGTTGCTGTGGCATAGTTTGCCTAAATGGAAATGAAAGAAAATAGAAATCGCACGTGTCTAATACAATCATTGTCTGCTCAGATGTAGAGATAGTCTTTGATCCCCGCCCCCCCCCCCCTACCCTCACCACCACAACTAAATCCACCTACTACTCTCTCCCTCATCAAAGGTTTTTGGAAAAGAAAGACAATGGAAATCTCAACTGTCTAATATAGTTGCTGTCGCAATCATTCTCTGCACAGATACAGAGATAGTCTGGTTTCCCAACTTTAGAACACGCACCTTATAATTGTGTCCTCATATTAGTGGTCGTTTAAATGGTGTTATTAGCACGGTAACAAAAATGGTTATTTGGTTATCACATGCTAAAGCTGTTTGTATTTTTATAGGAGACGGAAGTAAAGCTACAACTGTACTTGTAAATAACAAAGTAAGTCGCACAAAAATTAGAATAGTGAAGGTAGCGTTAGTAAAATATAAACAATTTAAGTAAGTAATGAGAACTTAAAAATCATGTGTAAAGCTCTTCAAGTTCTCTTAAATTTCAGTCATTACCCTCTCCCCTCCCCTCTTCCACCGACTACTGCTCTCTCCCTCTTAGAAGGATTGAAAAATCATCACCTGGCGATATTCTTTTTGTTGTAACTGACATTGACATCCCTGTCCATCCGGACTAAATTGGGAGCAGGAATTGTAATAGGTAGTGAATGGGGCTAATGTAATATTTACCGCATCATCCTTCAAGTATCAGTACAACTACTACCACGACCACCACCACAGTAGCTAAAATAATGTCACTGCTATCTGTTTTACCATCGGAGTAAACAGGGAGTCGTGAGCCAGAAGATTTGGCGCCGCATGGCTAGTGCTGTCGCCACGGACTGGTCAGGTTAGGATGTATGATTTCGCTCCCCGACAGAAGAATGCCATAACCTTACCGGCGGTCTTCACATGCGAGCACTACGGTGTAACCGCCCAACCACAACTACCACTGCTGCTGCTACTTTGAGTGGGTAAAGCAGTTACTGTGACTTAAAGCTCTCTCAGTAATCAGTTTGCCCCCCCCCCCCCCCCCCCCCCCAAAAAAAAAAAAAATTCACTGACTACTCTTTCCCTCATCGAAGTAGTTGAGAGGGAAAAAAAACCAATTGAAAAGCAATTAAAACAGGAAAAATAAACCAGAATTAGGAAATGAACGCTATGGTAAACAGCACAGCTTAAAATTCCCACGCAGATGAAATAATTAAATCTAAATGAAAAAAAAAAATGGAAAGCTATGAAATTTCAGCGTAACCATGCAATCGAAAAGTTTAAAATGAAATCATAAGTATGTGAAATGGTCAAATTTAATTATCAACTGGTTTACCCACAAACCTGTCCTTGTTTTTTTTTTTTTTTTTTTTTTAAGTATATATCATTAAGGGCCATATGGCTAGTGCTGTCGCCACGACAGTGCAGGTGAGGATTTTATTTTGGCCCTAAGTAAAAAAAAAAAAACTACTGCGGATTCGAACCCTGGTCTCCCTCTCAAGAGCCAAGTGTTCTAACCATTCGACCAAGCAACCACTCGATCGGAATAACGAAAAGAGAACATAACTATTTCAGATGTGTGTCCCTTAAAACAGCAGGCAATTGTTTTCTCATAGACAGATATTCCAAATATATTAATGAAACGGCACAACAAAAGAAATTGCACGTGTCTAATACGGTTAATGTCGCAGTCAATGTCTGCGCAGACGTCGAGATAGTCCCTCATGCCCCCCAGCCCTCTTTTTCCCTACCAATCCATCGGCTACTTTTCAACTCATCGAAGGATGTTTGAAAAAAAAAAACAGAAAATAAAAATCGTGTCTAATATAGTTATTGTGGCAATCACTGCCTGCACATCTATATATATAAAAGTCAATGTTTGTGTGTTTGTTTGCCCCCTATAGACTCGGAAACTACTGAATCGATTTAGCTGAAATTTTCAGGATATGTTTGTTTTGATACCGGATGTTGAACCATCATGGTTTGAAATTCAGTCTGTCACTGTTAGAGATAGTTTGCCACAATTTAAGCCAAAATATTCGAAACTAATATTTATAATTTTAGTGTTTTCTAATTATAGCCAGGTTAGTAATTGCGCATGCGCCGTGCAGCCAACACCTCCTCTAATACATAGAGTAGGTCGTGGTACAGCAAACAAGACTATATCTATATAAAAACAGAAAATAAAAATCGTGTCTAATATAGTTATTGTAGCAATCACTGCCTGCACATATATAGATATAGTCTTGTTTGCTGTACCACGACCTACTCTATGTATTAGAGGAGGTGTTTTCTGCACGGCGCATGCGCAATTACTAACCTGGCTATAATTAGAAAACACTAAAATTATAAATATTAGTTTCGAATATTTTGGCCTAAATTGTGGTAAACTATCTCTAACAGTGACATATTGAATTTCAAACCATGATGGTTCAACATCCGGTATCAAAACAAACATATCCTGAAAATTTCAGCTAAATCGATTCAGTAGTTTCCGAGTCTATAGGGGGCAAACAAACACACAAACATTGATTTTTATATATATAGATGCCGTGTCGTCTTAATAGTCATGACTATCCACAACCTTCTGTCTCGTGTCCTCTCACTCAGTTCAGACACAGACGATCGTCCATGCAATGATGCCAGATTGACCTGCCTTTTCTTTCTGGGTCTCGCTCAGCCTCTTATCCCTTCTAGCTTTCCCACCGTCACAATGTACTCCAGTTTGCTGCTTCTTGTCACATGACCAAAGAATGTAGATTGTCTGCTTCTGATGTGGACAATCAGTTCTTTTCGTGAGTCAGTTTCCTACAAGACAACTTCATTACCCGTTTTATCTGTGCTGGGTGTCCTTAAAGTTTGTCTATATACCTACATCTTCACTACTTGCAAATAATTTTTCACTAATTCTCCAATTACATACGTCTAGCTTATATGTCCAAGACGCCTGTGTAAAAAAAAAAAAGTTCATTTTCTTTACCTTTCCTTATCTTCCAACTGTCCATAATTTACTACCATATATTTCATATAGTTCAAAACAGTTATCTTTCTCTTCTCAAGTGACAAGGAAATATTTTATAGAATATCTGTTCAAGTTAGGGTGGGTTTTTTTTTCTGGCACCAACAGAAAAAAGGTATAAGGCCTTACCATTCAAACCCTGGGTTCCCGGACGAGAGACAAGCGTCTGGCTACTAGGCTAGCCTGGCCTCTCTACTCCTGGCAACGACTGTCCTGAATTATCATAGCGACGCAGATGGTAACATGTTTTTACGTCATTGACTTACAACTAAGTTTACTGTGCTAGTTTCGTCTTACAGTATTTACTTCTGAACAAGCACCTGGTCTATAGAAAAAAATAGGTCGTATTTATTGGAGA